AGAGGCATTGCCGACGAAGAAGGTGCGCGGCGTGATGATGAGCATGATTACGAGCATCCAAGCGATAACGGTGGCAGCGCCGGTAGCATAGGCCTGGGGGGTGATGGAGGCGTGGAAGGGGTCGCGCATGTCGGCGATGCTGGTGACGCCGCCGGTGCCATCTTCGATGGGGTTGGTGTTGCCGGGCGTGTTGGAGCACAAGGGACGGAAGAGGGCGCTTTCGGTGAGGGTGATTGTGTTGCCGGGCGAAATCTCAATGGTGCCATGGGCGGGCAGTTTGTACGAGGGACAGTGCTAGGAGTGGCGGTTAGTCGCGTTGGTCGAGGCGTGTCGCGGCGGACAGCAGAGGGCTTACATAGGGCGTCGTGGCATCGGGCGCGCGACTGTCCAGGAGACGAGAGGCGGCAGGCCACGAGTCGGCCTCCCACATGCTCGATCGGGGGGCTATACTGGTCCAGCAGCAGTTGGTGACGGATGGAGGAGTCCCATGGATGTTCAGGCGAGCGGCATCGGATGTACGGGGTTGTGGAGGAGGTGGGTTCGAGAGTCGAGAGTCGAGCGTCGCGGTTGTGGGTTAAGCGTCGAGGCCAAGTGGGAGTGGGCTGGGCGAAGCTTGAGGGCACGCCGGCGGCCTGGTGGCACCTGCCGTTCCAGCTTGTCTCATCTCGGCCGTGATTGGCCCCATCCCTGCAGCGCCCGGCCAGCCCATTGCAGAAACAGCGCCGGCAGTCTTTTCCACCGTAGCCCCCCTAGTCGCTTGCCCTCGAGCATCGAGCCTCATCCCAGCCCTAAAACGTCGCACGAGCGCGTTACTGGACGACATCAAACTCTGTCCGTCTAACGGCGACGGCTAACGCTCCTGGTGCCTCTGCGCCCCGTCCCCTCGACTCGACCCTCTCCCTCTCCCCCGAGCACCAGCCAGCCTCGGATCGTGCGGGCGAGGGCACTGGCGATGGCGATGGCGATGGCGAGGTCAAAGGCAAGGGCAAGGTCAAGGGCATTACTGCCTCCGTGTCGCGCCGAATGTGAATGGGCGGCTTCGGGTAGACTGAACGGCATCGGACACAATCGGGCCTCGCCTCGATTCTTTTCAGCATAGCCTGCCTGTCCTGTGCCCACAATACCACGCGCACCCCCCAGCTTTTTCTTCACCCACGCCGCAGCCACAGCCCAACACAGACAGATTGGCAGAAACGACGGAGGCTGCCATGTCACTGCCAGGCCATGTGCCACTGCAGGCTGTGTCCCAGCACTGGACAGCATTACAAGACACTGGCTGCAAGTGCTAACGGCAGACGGCGCATTCGACCTTTACTACCGTGCGCTTGCTAGCAGGTTTTACTCATGCATCATTGCATGGCATGCTTCGACTTGACAGTCGCTCCTTCTTTCCACGCAAGAACCTGCGACTTGGCTAGCGCACAGACGCAAACATGCAAACCGCCTCTCTCTCTCTCTTCCTCACACACACACTCTCTCTCTTTCTCTCTTTCTCTCTTCCTCTCTTTCTCTCTTTCTCTCTTTCTCTCTTTCTCTCTTTCTCTCTTTCTCTCTTTCTCTCTTTCTCTCTTTCTCTCTTCCTCTCTCTCTTTCTCTCTCTCTCACACACACACACACACACATATATATATATATATATATATATTATCTCTCTTATAGCCTTCCAACAACGTAAACAACAAGATCCCAATACCAGAGCCAAGGTGCTCAAGACGATACTTGCACTCCACTTGTTCACACCGGGTGTGCTTTCTCTTTGACGTTCAATGCACTCGGCGACTACTCTCGTGTACTTTCTTACATATGCATATAATCCCCCGAGTCACATGGCGCCTTATAATCCTTCTAGCCCTTTTACTACTGTATGCAGATTGGTGCCTAAGTACCGTGAACAACTCAATGGTAGTGTCGGCCCTTATCGCTTACCATATCGACTTCTGGTAAGACCCGCCCTAATAGCTTGCATTCCAAATTGGATTTCTACGCGCCTTGCACGGATACTGCCGCATCGGCGATCGAGTAATCCCATGTACATTGCGTAGACCATGTAGCCTGGTCAATCCTCTGCTCTGGTCCATTTGCTCTCCTATTTGTAATATCTGTTTGGCAAACCACTGCTGGGATATCCGTGGAATCTAACTATGAGCTTGTCAAGTCCCACCTTTCAGCACTGTTTAATGCGACCATTTTTAGACTTTGACGCGTCCTAGAGCGGCACGATTTTTCTTGCTGTAATATATTCTAATTACTGTGAGTTCGTAGTTGATATTGGTACCCATCGTTTAGGAGATCTCATACAGACTATTTGGACCGTGCAGATATACAAAAAGCAGCAAACGACAAAGGCCCGCCTAGATATTGGATGCTTGCACTTGCAACAAAGCAGAAGGTGCATAGCTCTAGTGTCAAACAGTGTCTTTTTTCTGTTGACAATCGAGATCTCAGACAACAACCATGACACACATGTACAGAGGAATTATTGTAACAGCAAAGATGATGGTCTTTGAGAAAGATGACGTGACTGAGTGTTTGTGGATGATGACGCTGCTGCACGTGCTCGCGCGCCTCGCTGGACCCTTACAATCTTTCTACACACTTTCGCCCCACTCATCGAAGAATCGCACTGTGCCTCCTTGCACATCTAATTGCTATCCAAAGCAACCGAACATGTACATCTGAATCTACACAAGCTGCATATCGTTCGAAGAAAGCCACAAAGTTTCTAGCCCTGTAGCACTGTTTACGCAACGCGCACACCCAACGCGACAGCGACGCGCATAGCAGAATCTGCGAGTCAACGGTGAGAGACAAGCAGTAAAGTAAATTTAAAAGGATCAGTTCAGGATGGCGCGCAAAAAAGCTCGAGATCACAAGCGGCAAACCAAAATCAATTTCTCGCCCGCTTCCCAGACATCGCGTGCAACTAGATCCTCCGCTGCACCCATGGCTGGCGCGTCCCAGAAGCCACAAAAGCCGACCAAAGGTAGCACCAGCCGGACGTCAAAGAAGACATATCAGGACTCAACGAGCGAAGACGAGTTGGCACAAGAGACAGAGAGAGGCTTGCGCATAGGCATGTTCAATGATCGAAACAATCACTCAAGTGGCTCTTCAAGTTCAGAAGAGGAACAGCAAGTTGAGAAGCAGCTCAAGTCAAAGTCCAAAAAGCGGCGACGCGAGGCAATTCTAAGCGAGTCCGAAGGCGAGGCAACTGTTGTAGTGACACCACGCAAACGTCAACGGCACGCTATCAAAGTCGAAATCGAGAGCTCAGAAGAAGACAAGAAGAGAAAGAAAAAGAAGAAGCAAGCCAATTCGGAACCTGCGCCACGCAGCACTCGAAGAGGGGTCGCTAGAAATGATTCTACGCCAGATGAGAAGGAGGAGAAGGAGGAAGAGGAGGAAGAGGAGAAGGATCAGCAAGACGAGCATACCCCGCCTCGCAGTGTCAGGCGCAAGCTTAAGAGACGGAGACCCGCATCTGACGATGAGGATGAAGACGAAGATGAGATACACGGGGCCAACAAAGACACTGCATCAGATGCGGAAGACTCGGACGGTGCTGATGATACGAGGGATAACGAAGAGCAAGAAGAACTCAAAGAAGACCTTGCATTCTTACGGTCATCTCCAGTTGCAGACAGTCGTGGTTCAACAAGTATAACGCTAAAGAATAAGCGACAAGAAGCCCTGGAAACCTTGAAGAGACGAAGGGCTGGCACAACCGAGGCTTCGTCTTCAGCAACACCTGTGCGGCGAAAGACAGTTGTCATAGATTCTGAGTCTGAGTCCGATTTAGAACTTGAGATTATCAAGGAAGAGGAGGACAGCGATGTAGAGGCTTCGGACCAGGACGACAGCGAAGATGAGCAAGAGACCAATGCTTTTGACATGTTTCAGGAAGATCAAGACGACGAGCAATTCATCGACGATACAGAGAATATTATTGGAGAACCCGCAGCAAATGACGACTTGGACGAGCTGCGGCTGACTTTGAGCCTCTCCCGAGCAAAGACAAAGGACCTGTTCAGACATGCTGTTGAGTGGATGGTCATGAAAAAGATCCACCCTGGTTTCGAGGCAACCAAAAACCTCTATACCGTGACTTTCCGGAAACTCGACGACGAAGTCAAAGGCCTCGCAGGATCAAAGTACACATCAGCAGCCTGGACTACCGACTTTACGCGCGCTATCCGCGCACGGCCAGACCTGATGATTAACGACCTTAGTGCCAGCGAAAGAGCCGTAATGTCTCCCCACTGCGAAGCCTGCAACCGCACCAACCACACCGCAAGCTCTGAGCTCCTCTTTCAAGGCGAGCCATACAACCCGGACACCCTCGAACCCCTCGACTCCGACTCTGACTCTGACTCCGATTCCGACAGCTCCTCCTCCTCCTCCTCCTCTGCCCTCTCCTCGGACTCGGAAACCCTTCCCAACGGCGAAAAGCCAACCTACAACTACCAAAAAGAGCGTATACCCCCAGAATCCCACCGCTTCCCCGTCGGCTCAACCTGCAAAGCCAACGCACAGGTAGCACATACCTTGTACCATTGGCGCTACCATCTCTACCAGTGGGTCAAGGATTACTTGAAAGCAGAGGGCCATTTCATGGAGAAGAAGGTGGTAAAGAGGGAAGGCTGGAGTGATCGCAAGAGAGCTAAGGCTGCACACAAGATTGTGAAGCGGATGGAGGAGAAGGGCCAGATTCGCGAGTTGTATCATTCGTATAAGAATCAGATTACTGCGGCGGTGGAGGCGGACAATCGGTTTGAGAATGGGTGGGGAAGACGCGGGAGGTAGGGTGCTGGGCTGGGTTTATAGTGGGGATATTCTATTGGGGAGTGTTTTGCTTGCGTAAAAAAATTTGGGGCTTATTCAGTAACTTGAATACGGCATATGCCATCCTGTGTGTAGGATATGCTCAAACAAGAGCTAGTTGATTATCTTGAGAACGACAGTGCGGTTGTATAATACGCATATGAAGAATAGAAAAAAAAGAGCAACACATTGATTCATTCCTTCTGGGTATCGTGCTTTTTATTATCATGACGTCGACTTTTCCTCAAACAGCGCTCACAACATCTCATCCACCTCCTCCGGCACCGCTACACTCTGCGCTACCGCAACATCCACTTCCTTCACCTCACCCTTGACTTCACCCGCCTCATCCATATCCTCATCACCACCCCACTCCCTCTCCCCCCTCTTCAACTCCACATCCTCCGAATCCCCCAACACACCCCCTTTCTTCACTTTCTTAGCCCCCTCCCCATTAACATCCTCCCACCCCTTCGCCCTCTCCGTCACTTTCCTCCCTTTCCCCAGACTCTTCAGCCGCTTATTCGCCAACTTATCCATATTCTCTTCCGCACGCTCAAGTCCCTTTTGGTGGCGCAGCCGCTGCGCGCGCGTCATATTTGTGCCTTTTTTCTGGCGCTTCTGGATACCTGCGTCTTTGGCGGCGAGGGCGTGGGGATTTACGGAGGAGGGCCGTGAGGGCGAGGCAGAGTCCCGCGTTGTGTGTGCGGGTTTTTGGGCGGATTTGGGGAGGTCAAGTGAGGGGGAGGCGGCGCGGCGCGCGGCACGCGAGTGGATGGTGACTTCTGTTTGAGAGTTTAGTGGAAGTTTTGGGGGAGATTTATATGGGTGTGTTAGGGGGACAAACGGCGCTTCTTGACTTTTGCTGTTTTGGCCATTGTGTATATTGGGTTTTTTTGTTGCGGTGATTGCGCGGGAGTTGTTTGATGTGGTAATCTTCTTTTTCTTCTTGTTTCACAAAGTACTCGACTTATTTGGTCTATATGGTCGAAAAAAGATATTATTTTCGAGTCTGACGCAAAAAAGGGTTACAAGGTGTGTGTTTTGAAATATCGTGGAATCGGGAGTCGCAAATCTACAAAAGTTCCCCACTAGCTCGTCAAGGACCGAAATTCCGGATCCACTTCGGCCGCTAGTTGCATGTCCGCACCTTCTTCAGTAGCCGCAAAGCCCTTGCCCTGCGAACATTCACGCCAACCCTCCGCCACTCACCGCTGCTGCCCATCGCCCTTCGACCGTCGTCCGCGTACGCTCGCCTCTCTCATGTCGCAGACAAACACACCAGCGCGTTTGCTCTGTTCGACACCGTCCATGCGCTGGCCCGAGGGCTGAAAGACTGGAACTCTTTCCCACTTGCGCCTTCACTGATTTATCATCATTCACCAACCTTCGCTCCCGTTCGCCCACCCGCTTTTTTCTTCCAACACAAAAAATAGCGTCGTGGTGTCCTGCACGTTTCAGCTTTATTTTTACAACAGCCCCCTACGAGCTATGAGCTACAGCGGATACCCCGAACTTGACGCCTATCAACAGCGCTGGAACACATCCGACTCGCATTCCACTACCACTTCCCTTTTCCTGGGCACTATTATAGGTGCATATTTTCTCCTCAGAGCTCTCGACTATCTGGGTTTTCCCGTCGGTTTCTACGTACGCCGATTTCTCAGGATGGCGACCAACGTCTTGCGCTCACGTGCGTCTTCAATCGGCTCCGCGTCTGGATCGGAATCCGACGATGCAGCGGCGCAGAGTGGAGGCATGTTTGGCAGCCTCTTTGGAATGAGCCCTGGCAACTTGCTCTCAAAGGGCGTCAGAGGTGTCGCGAGCGCTCTTTCCATGGGTTCCGGCGACGTCCCGCCTGGCTTGGGCAACATCAGCAACTCTTGTTACCAGAACAGCGTTATCCAAGGCCTTGCCTCGCTTCCTTCGCTGCGCGACCATCTCGCCAAAACCACATCCGAGCATCCTTCGCTCTCGCCGGAAAGCACCAACGGCGCGCTGTTCGAGATAATCACAAAGCTCAACGATCCAGAGAACAAGGGGCAGCATTTTTGGATACGCGGCAAGCTCAAGTCGATGAGTACCTTTGAGCAGCAGGATGCGCAGGAGTATTATAGCAAGATATTGGATGCGCTAGATGAAGAGGTCAAGAAGACCGCGAGCAGCAAAAGGCGATCCTCGGTCTCCTGGCTGGAAATCACAAAGATTCTCAGTGACTCACCAAATGCAGATGAAAAGACACAGGAAGGAGAGAAAGGCGATTCGGAGAAGCCAGCCGTACAGGCCCCAGCAAACCCCCTTGAGGGCCGCCTTGCACAGCGTGTCGGCTGTACATCCTGCGGCTACTCGGAAGGTCTTACACTTATCCCGTTCAACTGCATCACCGTCTCCCTGGGAAAGAACCACGGTTACGACATTCGCGAATGTCTTGATGAATATACAAATTTGGAGTTCATCGACGGTGTCGAGTGCGCAAAGTGCACATTGCTTAAGCTACAGAAGACTTTGACTCCTCTTGTCTCTAAAAAGCCAGAATCGCCATTGAAGGCCAGACTCGATGCTGTGCAGGAGGCTCTGGAGAAGGAGGACTTTGAAGACAAAACACTACTAAAGACTCTGAATGTGCCTAAGAAGAACTGGGTGCAGAGTACCAAATCGAAACAGGCAGTTGTCGCGCGAGCACCCCAGGCATTGGTACTTCACGTCAACCGCAGTAGTTTCAATGAGTACACTGGTATGCCGTTCAAGAATACTGCTGGTGTGTCATACCCGAGTGTCCTGGATCTGGGTAATTGGTGCCTCGGCGGTGCACCGGCTGGCTCTGAAAAGCCTGCCATGTCTGAAGAAGAGTGGCCAAAAGATCCTAGGGAATCCATGCTACCAAGGGGCAAGCCCATGTTCGACTCTCCTTTCCAATACCGATTGCGAGCTGCTGTCACACACTACGGCTCACATGGTAATGGACATTATGTGTGCTACCGGTCACACCCAAAGACTGTCTCCAAGTCAAGCGATAATGAGGAGGTTGATTCCTCATCGACAGATGGCAAGGAGCTTGAAAATGAAGAACAACAACAACAACAACAACAAGAGCAGGAGAATGCTGTCACATCCCCGTCGGAACAGTGGTGGCGCTTCAGCGATGACAGTGTCTACCCTGTCTCTGAAGAAGAGGCGCATCAAGGAAATGTCTTCATGCTCTTCTACGAGCGCATTGATGAATCAACACCCTTCCCATCTCACCCCATCACGGAGAACGTCACGGTAGCAGAGGATGCTCCCTTACCACCAGTCGATGCCGCAGCATACGCACAAGCCTCTCCAAACGTAGAAGCCACTGCCATTGCTCTCCCAAGCGACGACGACGACGATCTTCTCCCGACCAAGTTAGTCACCAAACCGCAACCGCCTCAACTTTCCATACCCACCACGCAAACACCCACAGACGAGACACCCTCCTCCCCATCCAGTGTCGCCACAACCACCCCAACAAAACCAGCATCATCACCGCCCCACCTCGACCCCGAAACAGAAGCCAGCGATGCGGATTCCGAAGACGCCCCTTCAACCCAACTCACCTCGGACTACGAATCCGAAGTCGACGCTGACGTCCCCACGCCCCCACTCAAGCCCCTGCCTGTTTCTTCTTATTCTGCTAAAATCTCACCAAACTTGATGCGTACCGCGGGGAATGCATCGAATAGGGGCCAGCAGCGCAAGGGACAAAGTTTGCCGCTCGTTTCTGCGACGTAGTTTGCTCGTGGCGCTAAGCGTATCAAGCTCGAGTTTGTGTAGTAGGGGTGTGGAAGGAAGAAGAGGGAGTTTTGGGTATGTTGATATTTGTGGTTGGGAGCTATGGAGAAGGGGCAAATGGAGAGATTGTAAAGGATAGGGTGGAAACGATGGGAAATCGGTATAGGCGTTTAGGCACCTGTTTGCCCGGTAGGGTCAGGTTGGGCGGCAGCCTGTTTTTTTCTTACTGCTTATCTTTTTTTCTTCTTCCGGGTGTACGGATACATGCATTGTTTCCAATAAAGCACATACGGGTTTTTTTTGATACGTTTGAAATGAATATTCGATGCGTTTATCAATCTTTCGTGCTTGAATCCGCAGTTGTATACTATGCCATTAATGATTTTCTATCTACATGATCTTGTATGTACCTACACTATGACAAACCTAAATAACCAAGGCTCCAATCCAAGCATATACATCATACATATATAGTTAATCTCACCCACCCATAACATAATCCTCATCAACCTCAAACTCGCCATCCCTCTCCGAACCCACCAAACTAACCACCTCATCCTTTTCCTCGCCCCTCCACCCCATTCCCGCCCACGCCCGCCCTGCCGTCCGCATCACATTGTCAAACTCCCCAAGCGCCTCAAACCACCTCTCCCGCCTCTTGCTCTCCCGCACCCCTCCCTCCAGCGCAACTCGACTCGCTCGCGTAGTCCGCGCATTGCGCGCTGGACCCAGTCCAACTCCACCACTGTTGGTGGTAGTGGGACCGAGTACATCGGACATACGAGCGCGCATCTGCTCGAGATTCTGCTCATGCGCGACGATGCTGCGAACGTACGGGGCCAGATCTAGCGTTATGACACTGAAATTTCGATCGAAAGATGAAGGTGTGAGAGTAAACGAGGTGCGTTCTGGGAGGAGTTGATCGGGGGGCGCGGCGAGGCAGTCTAACGCTACTGCAAAATCTGAGCGTGTGAGGTGTTGTTTTGCCGTTTTGAGTTGTTCGTGGCGTAAGATGGCTTTGGCGTAGGCAGGTTCGGAGGTTGGGGAGGGGGAGGGGGTGGGGGTGGTACGGGTTTGGGAGATGGTTGGGAAGGCGCGGTGGATGAGGAGGTGGGTTTGGAGGGTTAGGGATGTGGAGAGGTGGAGGAAGTCGGTCGTGTTGTCGATTTGGAGGAGGGGGGCTGCGAGGGTGTAGTTTTGACGGGATTTTTCGGGGATGGGGGGTTGGGAGGCGTCGGTGGGTTGGGTGTGGGAGATGCTGTAGGAGGGGAGATCTACACGGCAGAAGATGTCTGCTGCGCTGAGGGACTCGGTGTATGCATCTAGACTGTCGAGAGCTTGCATGCGGTGGGATGGCTCTGCGTTCTGCGCATTGAGCATCTGTTGGCTGATTGTCATTGGGGCTCCCCAGTCTGAAGGGCTGATGCCCCAGTCCGTCCAGACTTCTTGCAGGAGTTCTTCTTCTTTGTCAAAGGCGGTATTGGCAGAGGTTTCAAAAACATTGTGCGAGATCCAACCCATGCCGGATTGATACGTGCCCTCACTAGCAACTCTCAGCGTCTGGCCATGTTCGTCAACGTCTTTGCCTGGTGGCCAGCGCTGATACGTCCACTCCAAGCCACCCTTTCGGTCTCCAACAGATATCTGACACCAAAAGTCAAGTTCCGTGATACTAGCTCGGAGATCACAGCCTTTGGATTGGTAAAGTTCCTTCACAGCTTGTCGCGCAAGAACATGTCCTTCTCTACCAGCTAGAACAAGTAGGTAGTCAGTGGCGAGTTCTACAGGAGGAGGCTGGAGTCGCAGGACAGCAGCAAGCGGCAGATCATGCATCGGTATTTGTCTTTCATCGTTGCAAGTGATGACAATGGGACGTTTGGAAAGCGATGCAATCTTTGTGATCTGCGCCCAGAACTGCTGGTCCTCGTCGAATAAGATGTCAGCTTCCTCAATAAGAATCAAAGATTGCTTCTGAGATGTACGTGACGTTTGTGCGAGTGGAAGCGTAGCTTGGGCCGGTGATGGTGCTACCTTCTTGACTTCCTGCGGTCGTGGTTGTGCCTTTGGCTTTGGAACCGTTGCTTTGGGCTTTGCTTGAAAGAAAGATGTCATGGTTCCTTGCCGGCCGCTGCTGATGTCTTTTTCAAGCCCATCCACTTGATCTTCTTCCGCATTATCTACGGACTGGGAAGGTTCTTGAATCGATGCTGCGTTGCGTTTATGGTTCACTAGATGGTTTCCGGTCATATCGCCAACTTTGTCCTGGATATCTTTGCCTGAGCGGCGCATTCCGGCATGGATCTCGAAAACTTCAAATCCCATCTCTTTAGCCACCGCATGAACGGTTGCACTTTTACCACACCCGTGGGGCCCGCTGATAAGTATGACATTCTTATCGCGCGTCCACTGTGTTCGTCTGAAAGAGCTTGGTTCCATGTAGCTTCTCCCCTCTACATGAGGCAACATGACCATGTCTTCTTCCTCCTCTTCTTCATCGTCTGGTACAATAAAGTCGTCAAAGGCCTTCTTGCGTTTCTTCCGGGGTGGCTGCCTCACATCTACTGTAGCAGTGGTTTTCGATGCACCACTCACAGTCATGACTGTTAGACTTTGCAACCAATCTTTGAGTACTACTGCATCTGTACCTGTCTGTAGCACATGAGCCGAAGACTTCGGGGCATACTTTTGAGCCCAAGATTGGACCTCGCACTTTCCCTGATCAAAGGGCGTAAGATTGTACTCAATTTCTCTGAGGAGATCTACAACGGCTGTGTGGAATGATTGTGGTTGCCCAGCAGTAGCTAAGGAGGGTGACCTAGCCAACAGCTGCTCATATACTCTACGCTTAATATTGGGACCGGTGGTAAGTAGACGTGTTGGAAGTCGGACATCTTGAGGAGGTGCAAATTCGGTCGTACAGTCTTTGTTTCTCTGGCTTTGATCCTTGGAGAGATCCTGTGCAAGTCTTGCAATTATATCTTCATGTTCTGGAAGAGTTACAACAGCATTCTTCATCTTTCGTGGTCTCAATGCTAGCTGCACACAGGTGGAGTTATCCAGGCGCGCTGGCAAGTTTGTCGGCTCCATATTACGAACATGCACATTCTCGCTAGTCGGCCATGAGGGCTCGTTGAGACCGGATTGCTTGCCAGCTTTGCTTGTTTGTAGTCCCCTATTATAGAACGAGGTGGGCTCTGGTGATTCGTCTCGACGAGTCTCGGCACGCAACTTTCCCGGAGTGACCGCGCTTTTCCTGGGAGTCGCGGCGGGCAGCTCTGTGACGACCTTGACTGGAGGGGCGTCCTTCTGAGCCTTGCCGAGAAAGAAAGGATGCGTTACTTTCAACGACGCAGCTGGTTTCGGCTGTGTGTTCTTCTGAGATGCTTCGCGTTTAGTCGATTTCCTCTTTGTATTCAGAATCTCTTCGATCTTTTGGCCAATGGCAGATCGGCTCGCTGGATTTGCGCCATATTTGATAACCGTCACTGTAGGAAGGACTTTAGCCTGCTTAGGCTTCCGGCCTCTTCTCTTCTTTGGAGGTGATGTCGGATCTACTGCTGATTTTGGTGGGCTGGAGACAAGTCTACCGCTTTTGGTGATCTTGATCTGCTTCTTTGGTGTCACATTCTTCAGCTCTTCCAGGGGGGGTTCAGACGGAACAGCAACTGGCTCCGGGTAAGCTGGCAGTGACGGCGTACTAGGTGTGGTAGATGTGTTTGAGTGTTCCTTCTGGTCATATTCAATCACTTCGGGCACACCAGTCATGGTCACGTCGGTATGCACATGGGTGTTTGGTGGTGAATCCAAGTCCGCCGGCCCATCTACCTGTACCTGTAATTGTTGGTGCCAGTCCAGAGAAGGCGGTTCAAGTTGTGCCAAGGCTGATGAACCTAGCAAGGGCTCCGGAGATTGCGTCTTCTGCCTTTTTCTTCGATCGTGGTTGGGATCTACCTCCAAGGAAATTTCGACAGAGTCACCTATGCCATCCACAATATCCCCATTTGTTGCTTGTGCCGGTGGAGGCCGAGTGAAGTGATCCAGAGATGCCTGGTTCTTCAAGTGAGATACAAAGTTTTTCTCCTTTACTCCATCATTGGTTGGCGCCCTCTTCTTGTAGCCTTTACTGGGCTTGGAGTATGTATCCGTGGATTCGGGGGCGTCATGGACATTGTTCGCTGAGGCATTATTCTTGGGTTGTGAAGGATCTGGTACCTGACCATCTATGTAAAGTGTAAGCATTTGATTGTCTATCATCAGGCTAGGAACATACTAGGAGGTTTAGAAAAGAATGGATGCACGGTCTTTGCCTCTAGATTCATTGCAGGTTGTACTGCGGAGAGGGCCATATACACGTTCAGAGACTACTAGAGCATTCGTAACATTGGGGCAGGTCTATGGAAACAACAAATCGGGCTGAAAAATGGATTGCGTGCGTAAACGTCGTAAAGTGAATGCATACAATCGCAATCATTAACGATGACCAAAAGACACTTGCAGGACACGCGACGTGACGCGCTAGACATGCCACTGCAGCCACACTTTACAACCCCTGCGCGTGTTGGTCACTAGCCACAGCTGCGCGCCAAGAATTAGTTCTCTGGTCACCGCCCTATTTTCTGCCGAAGCTCCAACTTTTTTCTTGACCAGCACTCGACCACCAAACCAAAGCACGCGCTCCGCCCTACGGCTCACGCAGACCTCAGATAACCCGACTTCCAGGTCTGGCAAACACCATGTCGTCCGATCAGCCCATTGGCGCTCCCTTCACTTTGGCATCGCTGTCCAAGCCTGTCAGCTCTACAAATGGACGTGTGCACGCTGCTGGCGTCTGCAGCATTAGCGGCATCAAGAAGAGGAAGCGCACAGAGATCGCTGTCGGCGTGGACGGCGAAGGCGTATCAATCTACAGCGTATGTATTTCAATTTGCGATATGCGATAGCCGCTCAGATTTTCCCAGCTCCAAAATCCCCAACTTGTAACCTCATATGCGCTGCCGCCCAGCGCCACTTTTACAACCGCTCCGTACTCCATATACCGAAAAGGTCCTTCCAAGACACCAGCGCATCGCTTCACATACGCATCTCTCACCGGCTCGTCGCCCGCTGATAAGCCGCAACTCGTCTGTTTTCACGACAAGACCAACGGAGAACACACCGAAACCATAAAGACGACGTACACTCCCTCTGCTGCTGCGCGTATTTCCACGTTAGACTCGCTTCCTGTAGCTCTTGGCGGTTCC